CATGTAAAAATATAATATAAGCTCTGGCGGACTTGGTTCTATGGTAGGTCTTAAAGGGTTAAAGTGTACCTGTGTGCCTAGTTTGGTTGCTCAACCGCTGACAGTCTAGCAGGAATTTGCAGACAAAGAAAAAAATTAAATAAGACTTGTGTGTGTGACAAGAAATAAGGAGGGGAATAGAAAAAGGGTGCATGAGGTAGAATGTGTTCAAGGCCATCTTCATATTCTTGGTTTTATTCATTATTTACAGACAGTTACATCAAAATACATGTAGTGGGAGAAAACTATTGCAGGTACAAGGCTGTGAGGGAGAGAACAGAAGGACCAGGAGAGGAAAGAGGGTGAGATCACGCTCCTACTGAGAGCTTGGCTCCGACTCTTCCCTGTCCATTTAAAACACTAAGAGCAGCCAAGAGACGGTGAATAGACAGTGGATGGACACTTTACTTTGAACTCATATACGTGTAGTGTAATGTGAAGTAAATTGTGATTAATTAAAATCCTGAACATTATTTTAACTTCTATCTTTTTAGTTTCACAAGAATCAATAACCATTTGAATGGTTGATTTTTTTCCTTGGTGGCTAATTAGAACAGACCAGACCTGGCTGATTGGTGGGTTTTGCAATCTGTAAAAATTGCGGAGAATAAGGGAATAATTTGGGGACACTTGAGTGTAGTTTGCACAAGGAAGCATAAAACTGTAGATCATTAAGCATTGGTCACATTATGAGTCTTTGCACAAGGTGTTGATTTTATCCAAGCCAGAGGTCTAAACCCTTGTCATTTCTGCATACCTCTGTCTGACAAAGATCTTACCTATAGCTTACAATGCAACACTGTAGCAAGGTGGTTAAAAGCAGAGTCACGCCTATGTTTTCCTGTCATTTATTTATGTAATTGGCTTGAGACTGAGACTTATTGGTAAAACAACATTTACTGTTTTCTTAAGACATCTCTTTTTCCAATGTCTATTTCATTAAATGAAAAAGATTTCAAAGTGCACTTGTGCTTCCTTACTCTAAAAGAAAAGGTATATTTATTTTTGTTTTCCTATTTCCACTTAGAGTGAATTGGGCTGTTACGCACACAGTTCTACTTGTTCTTGTTTTTGGAATTATCTTTATATTTCTCCTTACTAATCTGTCTGTCTTTGTGCTCATATATCACTACTCCTACATCTTTCAGGTGTAACCATTTGGGAGCTGATGACCTTTGGAGGGAAGCCATATGATGGGATTTCTACAAGAGATATCCCAGATCTGCTAGAGAAGGGAGAGCGTCTTCCTCAACCACCCATCTGCACCATTGATGTTTACATGGTCATGGTCAAATGTAAGTAAAATCTCAAAGTAACCAGAAGAACAGAAACTCTCTTTAATAAACTAAAATCAAATGCAACAAATCAAATATTAATAATTACGGCTTCTACCATGTTAAACTGAGAGCGATGAGGAAACATGCTAGCTAGTTTTGAATAGAAAACATGTTTAGAAAACATTTGGTAATCGGTAGATTGTGGTTCTACAGTTTAGCCCACCTGCTTTCTTTTAATTGATCATACTTGTATAAAATTTTAGAGGACTGCAAAGCATGAACAGGTTGGCCTTAGTGGTCAGCCACTGCTGTTATACTGTCAGGCACTGGGGTCACAGGTGGCACTATACCCTCTGGCCACTGCTGACAGGACAAAGACTGGGTGCCAGCACCACTTCAGCCTTCTCTACTGCTCTCCAAGGTTCAGCCTCTGGCCGTTTCTGTCACCTTGGCTTTTACGGTCACCCTCAACCTGCGCCAATCTGGCAAGTGGACACAGACACGGCAGGGAGAGGTTACTATCACCTGCCTGTTATCTGACTTCTTTCTGCAACACTGCACATGCTGAAAAGGCTCATGTGCTCAGTGTACTTCTGAAGCTTTAACTAATTTCACTATCCTCTGCCTTAATGGCAATAATAATAGACGCTATGCACCAAGACAAAAGATAATCAATTTTACATTTGAAATGGCTTGTGTAGTATTTATGTATTCACATCTAAAGCCACATTTAACCATCCTCTCCCTGGATACCTAGTCAGCCTGTACTCAAGGCCAGACCACATGATTGCTTTGGCATTATGTCATCATGTTCACATGGAAACTGGCAGAAGAGCACATAGCTCCATATGGCCATTCTAGCGATGAAACAGTATTTATATTTAAATTTGAATAAAGAAGAGAACTTTATTTAAGCTCATCTAATTAATCATTATGAAACAATGCATTCTGGAAAATGGTTTAAAAATGAAATCTTCAAAAATCTTAAGAAGTTGGGGAATACGGCCTGTTTTCATGTCATGCGACTGATGTCAAGCTTTCACAGGTTAGCTACAGTTTTTTCGTTACCCAGACATTCCCACCACAGTTGGCCCAGGGATAATCCACCACATCTGCCCCATCAATACACGAGCAAACACACCAGACTCTACTATCACCACCACTTAATAGCATAATGGTGTAATACAGAGCTGCTTTGAGTGCAATTGAAACCACCATCATGATAGATTTAACCTATCATATCGACCAGTCAGGAAATAAGTTCAAGTTCAGAATAATTTCAATTTATCACAAATACCCGTTCACAATGAATTATTCACTCTGTAGAGATAGTCAAAAAATAATGCTTGAAAGATGATATCAAAGTCTAATTATTGTGTATTATTATGTAGCCTTTAATCCAAAGCCTCAGTCTATGGAGGCATTACCCTTGACACCAAAGTAGGAAGACCACTCAACTGCACTGCCAAATCTCCACTGACACCTTCTCAACATATTGTTCCTAATAGTTAAATGGGGTAACAGTAAATTTACACAGGAACAAAAAACAGGATCCTGATGGGGATTGATGAAGCTTCAAATTGAATGTTGACTGGGAAACTTATACACATCAATAAGATGTATAGATGGCATCTCCACCCCACACGCACACATTTGTTATTTTTATTTGGAACATCATATTGTTAAATATATAATAAAGAAATGCCTTTCAGGCTGGATGATTGATGCAGACAGTCGACCCAAGTTCAAGGAGCTGGCTGCTGAGTTCACTCGAATGGCTCGAGATCCCCAAAGATATCTGGTCATCCAGGTAGGTAAATTGATGGTATTGGAATATGTATGTTATCTTTATAGTGTGTCTTCGGTTACTGTGTCAGTTTTTCATATAGAGAGTTTTTCTGTTTCCCATTTCTTTGTAAAAGACAAAAAAACATGGACTTTGTTTATGTTGTGTTAAAATAAGTGCTCATTCAAAAAAGGTTTCTCTAAGTAACACAAGTAAAACAGTCATGAAACAAATCTGACGTTATCACACTTGTTATTCTGATATTTTCAAATTAACTTCAGTGAAATACAAGCTGCAGAGGCTATAAAAGTGTTAAAAATAATAGCTAATATGTTATCAGAATAACAAGCTGGACCTCACTCCAAACACTCTCCGTCCGATAATATATCTATTAATGTCTACTTCCACCCCATACACATTTGTTGTGGTTTCTGTGCCCCACCCTCCCTTTCTTGTTTCTCTGCATATCAGCCTTTCTCAAAAGTATCAGATGGATCTGCCAAACCTGAGAGCTAATGACAAGGCCCCAAACCACAGTCTCTGACTTAACTTGTTGCTTTATTGTCAATGAATGTTTTTCTCCCTCCCTCACTTCCAACTGGTGACAGCAGATGGCCGCTCCTCCCTGAGCTTGGTTCTGCCGGAGGTTTCTTCCTGTTAAAAGGGAGTTTTTCCATCCCACTGTTGCTAATAGAGGGTTTTGTTTTGTTTTTTGATTGTTGGGATTTTCTCAGTTTTATTGTAGACTTTGTATCTTACAATATAAAATGCCTTGAGGCCATTGTTGTGATTTAGCATTATATAAATAAAACTGAATTGAACTGAATCAAACTTTACTCAGGGTGATGATCGCATGAAGCTGCCCAGCCCCAGTGACAGCAAGTTCTTCCAGAGCCTCTTGGATGAGGAGGAACTAGATGACTTGATGGATGCCGAGGAGTACTTGGTGCCCCACTCCTTCAACATTCCCCCACTGGCATACACTCCCCGCGCAAGGATGGACTCCAACAAGGTATTTTATTTCAAGCGCCCTAATACAATGTTCAATATGTGGAAGAAATACTGAAGATACACTTACATTGTGTTATTAAGGTGGATCATTATGCAATGTGACTGCACAATGTGTTTTGCAGTGGAAATAGATTGTTTAAACTTGGAGGAATTTTTAAAAATAGCTTAGACTTAACAGCATGTTTTCATCTTAGCATGTCAAATACTGCTATTTTGGCAGATGCCACTGGCATCTGTGCTGTGACAAGAGAGATTAAGTCCACATTTGGAGGCTAGAAGGGTGGTGGTGGTGAAGTAAATCACAAGTTTGCCAGCCAACAACTCACGGTTTGTCTCCTGTTTCAGACTTTGTTCGGCATTCATTTCACTTAATAATTAGTTTTAGGTTTTGTAGTGGCCCTGGCAGAACCACAATGGTGCAATAGGCTTAAGAAAAGGCTATGGATTATAGTGTAGGTTCACACCCCTTCACAATATCAAGCATGCATAAAATGTTCAACTAATTTTCTTCTGTGTATACCCAGCTGGCAGTGGTGATAAGAGCAAATAGAGTTCTTAAATGACTTGCTCTTGTCTATGTAAAATATCTAAATAGAGCTTTAAAAAGATGACAGATCTGGTTAGCCAGCTGGTTGAACATGCGATTGCATTAGCACTCCTAATGTAGTCATTGTCGAGATGGATGGGCTATTGATCTCAACTGTTTTTGATGTACCCACTCAACAATTAATTTGTTCTTGTTGCTCTGTTTTTATCAGAATTTTAAGCTAGAAGTAACAGTGGTAATAGGAGGTGCCAACTGCCATTAGTCACAATGGTTTTCTACATTCTAGACACCGAACCCAATATTTTAGTGTAGTTTTCAGTTCACTGTACTGTTGTTGATGTCCACAGATTTTCCTACAAAAATATTTAGCTGGAATATTTGTAAATAATTTATTAACATTGTAAACAAGATTAAATCTATTAAATGATAAACTGTAAAGTCATAAAGCTCAAAAACTCTTGCAATAACCTAGGTAAGCCAGTTTGTGTTTTCCAAGTAAATCCCTTCATTAACACTGTAAGGAAGACTGGTGGACCAACCCTTTTTCATTATTTTTGTTATTACTTCTTTAATGAACTTAAGTTTTAATTTGTGTGTTTTTCTTTTACTTTTTTCATTAAATTTGTTTCTTATCTTTTAATTTGACATGGTCTCTGGATTACCATCTCTTATTACCAGTTCTTTCTAAGCATAGTAGCAGTGTGGCTGGTTGAAAGATGAAAAATGGGACAATATAGCAAAAGTACTCAAATCATTTAGATGCATTCTAAAGTGATATGGGAATGGTTTTCTCAGTGTAATGCAGGACTATTCTGTTCAAGCACAAAAGATTGAGGCCTTAAAACTGCACTTACACAGCTTTCTCGCATTCACTCCCATCTGTCTCTTGCTGTCCAATTCTCTTTCTGTTTTCCTTCGTCTTTCTCCTTTGTGAAACTGTTGTAATTGCCTTCTTCTGAATTGGAGTTTACAGCTAGATCTCCTCAGTTCTTGGACTGTTCAAATGTTCATGGTCTCTCTTTTGACTTAAATCTATCACAGCACCAGTCACACAGCCAGAATTCAAACATTTTGTATTCTAAAATCCCCTGTGTTTATGTCAGAATAAAAATACCCACTGAATGCCAATGAGAGACATGTGCCAAACCTGTTTTAGTGCATTTCAGAGAGTGAATGATTATGTATTTGCCTGATGTGTATATATATTTACAATCCCTCTGTTGTTCCCTACTATTGCCTATACTTTTCTTCCACTACTGGGCCTTTCTTTTTAGTGTGAATGCAAATAACTTCATAATAATTTAATTTCAAATAGGTTGATTATTGTAATGAGCTTGATTATTAAAACACTTACTTATACAGCCATATTTCACTCTATTATTGTGACTCATAACTGGAAGAAATTTGTTCTGCACTCGCTTAAACAGACATTGCCACCATACTCCGAAATGTCATTATGAAAATGCATGGTAAGATTAAAAACTATTTAGTTTAAAGCGATGAAGACGCTTAGCCTAGCCAAAAGCTTGTGCTTTGATAAAAAGGTGAACGGGGCACTTTACTTGACTCTTCAAGTAGTAGTTAATATTTTACTTCACACTGGATTAAGTCTCTGTTCATCTTCAGGGTACAAAGTAATACAGCTGTGCATGTGTTTGAATATGATTTAAAGAAACTCCACAGTTTTATATTTGTGTTAAGGTTAGTGATTGATTTTTTTATTTATTTTTATTTTTTGATGAGTGATAGGTATAAATGAGGATTGAAAGAGGGAAATTTAGTAGATATACCTGCAGTTACACTGTAATGAGAAAACAGCATGAGCTCTAAGGCCTCAACTAATTGCTTCTGGCTTATAATGTAGAGCACTAGATGAGAAACTGGGGAAGACTCCACATGTAATATATCAGGAAAAAAGAACGATGCCGTTGCATACAGAAAATGAGAATGGCCCTCAATTCTGCCCTTTGAAGTTCCTGAGATTTCAAGCAAAGGTTTGGACAAAATATAGCAGTAGGCACAGTTTTGTTTAAAGCTCCTATTTGCTAATAATTGCATTGCTCCGATCTCTAAGTTAACAAAAAAAAGGAAACAAAAAAGATTTACGTGACTGTGCGACAAGAGCCAGATGTCATCAGTAACTGGGTACTCAGTAAAAACTTTATTGGAATAACTTAGTAAGCTTGTAAGTAAGCAAGCTCATTTCCTGCTTTAGATTTGTATTTGTGGACTTCACTAAATTATTTTCCATAGTTCAAAATAATTTTCTGCTACAATGTACTTTGATAAAACTCCTCAATTCACCGTCTGTCTGAAAAAAGGAATCTAGCTTCTCCCGCTTTAAGGACACTGATCTTTTAAGACAGATTTCTACTGATTTGGGTATGACAAACAAAAGGTTCACTGGGTGAGATGTGTGCGTGTGATGAGCGTATTATGGATCTCTCTATCAGTATGTACCTGTCTCTGTGTGACACCATATAGACCCAAAAGTGAAAAGAAATTGTTGGAAACTGTGCATTTAGAGTATGAAGCCATTTGTATCTTAGATACAAACCCAATTCTGAAAAAGTTGGGACACTTTATAAAATGTAAATTAAAAAAGTTGCAATAATTTACTAATCTCATAAACCATATTTCATTTACAGAAGGATACAGAAAAGGCAAATGTTTAAACTGAGACTTTTTGCTATTTTATGAAAAGTATTAATAACATCTCAAAAAAGTTTAGATGGGGGAATAAAAAGCTGGAAAAGTGAGCAATATTAAAAAGAAACAGTTGGAGGACCATTTTGCAAAGAATTAAATTAACTGACTACAGGTCAATAACATGATTGTGTATAAATAGAGTATCTCAGGGAGGCAGAGTTTCTTAGAAGTAAAGATGGACACAGGTGCATCAATCTGGGGGGGAAAAGTGCATCTACAAATTGTGGAACAATTTTATAATAATGTTCTTCAAGGAACAATGTTAAAGACGGTGAAATATTCTTCATCTACAGTATATAAGATCATTAAAAGGATAAAAAGGATCTTGAGAAATCTCTTGCACGTGGACATGTGCACATGGGACAAGAGTGAAAATCAATATTGGATCATGCTTGTGATCTTTGTGCCCTTAATGCCCTGCAAATTAAAAATAGGTCAGACTCATAGAAATCCGTCCATGGCTCAGAAACACTTTCACGACTGTGTACACAGCTTGCTGTGCTATTCAGAAATGCAGGTAAAAGCTCTATCATGTTTGAAATTCTTTTGGAAAACACGGAAGCCACATCCTTTGGACAAAGAGAACAGCTTGTATGCATGCAGTTCTGTATGTAGTTCAGAGCTTTCACGAGCTAAAAACATTTGGCGTGTGGTGAATCAAAAAATACGAACTGTTGAACAGCTGTAATATATATATATATATATATATATATATATATGAATGAATATGAGCGAGAGAGAGAACTTATATCTTCTGTTCCCAGATATTTACAGAGGGGATCCTGTAAACATCGCCCTGTACTTACTTTTCTTAAAATGATACGTTTTCCCAGTTTAAATATTTGATGCAGGTTTGGTTCTGAATAAAGTATATATTCATGAGATATGCAGATCATTGCATTCTGTTTTTAATTTACATTTTACAAAGCATCCCAAATTGTTCAAAATGTTTATTAATCATATGCAGACCTCGTTATCTGGTAATTTAGCCATGTTTCATCCACTGTTATAACAATTTTTTTAGTATTAAATAAGGTAAATAGCCGGAGGTCCACTTTAAGGGAAATAAATTCCATATACTGTTGCCGTAAAATCACAGACCACTCAGACATAACCTGAGGAAAAGTCAATAAAACAATAAGTTAATAAAACATTTAAAAAAATAAAACTTACTGAAAATATGGGGGAGAAAAGATAAACAGAGTAAAGCACTTGCTGAGGTTCATAAAAGCCCTTTTTTGTTATTAGTGTAGACACAAATGCACACAGCATGACATTTCTGATATGGCTACTTAAAGATTTGCTGCATGGAGCCTTTTAATTAAATTTATTTTAATTGTACTTGGCAGTCATGCTGCCATATCATTGTTTGGCACTGCTGTTTGTCTCCCCTGCCTGTCACATTTTAATATTGCAGATGGACAATAGTACAAAGTACTTCAATTGTCACTTTTGTCTTACGTTTTTTGTTGTAATTTTTATATTGTTTTTTGTGCTTTTGTACTTGTACCACACCAGAAAATCAAACTAGTTTGTAGACAAAAGATTGGAATAGAAGCAGTTTTCCCTTGAAGGTAATGTACTATCCTGTACTATCCTAACTGAACCCTTTCTCTCATTTACTTCTACTCAGAACCAATTTAGCTGTCAGGATCCCAGTTTCAGCATGGAGGATATGCTGGCTGCCGTGCCGAGAGTGATCTCTGGTCCCCCTGTTTCTGGAAGCTGCCTCGCTCCACAGGAACTTGCCTCAGGAGGAAAAATTGTTGGTGGATTTGGCAGAGGTAGCCAGGATGACCCCCGCTGTAATGGCACTCTGAGAAAACAGGCATCCCCAAGGTCAAGCACCCTTGAGGCTGGCTCAACTCTCACCACAGTGCAAGGTAAAGTAGAATGACATTCAAAAGCAGCGGTCATGTGATTAAATTCAATTGAGGGACTCTGAAAAATACTTTGGGTTGCTCATACCAGTAAATTGTGAACAAATATCAAGCATAGAGTCATAATGTTTTGTGTTTTTGTAAACATTACCAAACTCTACATGAATAAACTGAAACTTAATGACATATCCTAAGAATTCTTTGGTATAGTTTATTTATTTTAAGATCTGGTTTGATTATAATATGTAAAGGAGGATTCGCGAAACAAAATCAGCCCTCATTTTATTTTTAGTCACTGAGCCTGAATTTACCACAAGGTGACGCCATAGCCAGTGACACAGTGACAAAAATGTCATGTCACAGTATACAAGATAGGTGAGATCGGAACAGAGAAAATGTCCTGAATTATTTGTTGACATTGTGACTCAAGTTATTCTTTTCTACGTTTTCCCTTTATGCTTGCTGCCAATATTTGTTTGGGTAGGTAAAGTGAGTTTAACAATGCAAGCGTGTCTATAATGTCACTTCATTGGAGAAGTAAGAAGTGAAAGAGATGAGTGTAACATATTGGTAATGGCTGCGTTCGAGCACTAATCGTAATCCATGTACTGTACGGTCAGCCCATGAAAAATAAAGATGTCATCCCTAAATCACCCAAATTAAAGTTACTTGGCTACAGTTATAGCTCTGCCTCGGAGTTTATTAGAAAATATATATGGATCTTGACATAAGGTTTTCATAGTAGCATACTTTAAAACTCTCTCTTGCTTCCTTTCCTCTTGCAAGGCGGAGGTGAGGACACTAATGGACAGCGTTACAGCGCCGATCCCACCGGTCTTTTAGCAGAGCGAGGAGCAAAAGGCAATGCCATGAGAGACAAGAGCAATTCAGGTTACTCTGACAGTTTTGAATGTCTTCATCAAATTTATAAATGTTTGGATAAAATGAGCTAAATGACATAGTTTGTGTTGTGATACAGTACTTATCTAAAATAATATATTAAATGTGTACCCAGTTCTTTTAAGGGTTTGAAAGCATCTGATATGCACACACTATAACATTCAATAACAGAACTGTAGAGACCTTAGCTAATGCAAATAATGTCCCTTTTTGTTTCCAGATTATCTCATCCCTGTAGAGGAAAACCCCTTTGTCACACGGCGTAGGAATGGAGATGCCCACACAGTGATTGATGGAGCTAGCTGCCACACTCTGCATTTGGCTGGAGCCACTGCTGCCCCCAAAAGTCAATCCACTCATGGTGATGATGAGTATGTCAACGAGCCACTGTACCTGAATACCCTCCTCAACGCTGGGGCCAAGAATGGATTGGCTGGCACAGTCTCCATCTCTGGCTCTGGATCCTCCGTTGCACAATCAGTACTGCAGACAGTCAACCCACCAACATCAAGCCACACCATCTCCTCCACTGGATATGTGGTACCCCCTGGCCACCTCCCCCACCCATCGTATCCATCACACACCCTGCATCCGGGGCATTCAGGACACGCTCTGCACTCAGGCATTACCAGCAGCACCATTATGTTTGATAAGAAAGGCAAGAAAGCCTCTTTTGACAATCCTGAATACTGGCAGCACAGTCTCCCTCCCAAGTCCTCACTGCACAACCCTGAGTACCTGCAGGACTGCAGCACACGCTTCTTCTACCGCCAGAATGGACGCATTCGCCCTGCTGTGGCTGAAAACCAGGAATACTTGTCAGAGGCTGCTATGAAAACAGGCAATGTATTGCCACCCCCTCCATACAGACAGAGGAACACTGTGGTGTAGTGACCCACCTGTAGCACATTAGCGATGAATAGAGGGGTATGGGTGGGGATGAATGGACAGTAAACAGTCCTCACGTTTCCATGCTGTTCTTCTCAAACTGGGTTCTTCTTTCACCTTTCCTTAACACTTCTCTTTGTCATGTCTGCTAATCTTGTATTCTCACTCACTGGTTTTGCATTTTCTATGACAAAACTATAATAACATTCACTAACAGCCTCTTTTGTTACTTTGTCCTTGGCCCCCAAAGCAAACACAGACATCTCTTTGTTGTGTATTCTGTCCTGGAAAAGAAAAAGTCCAGTTTTTTAGAATCAAAATTGCACATAAATAATATTAACACAATCAAAGATGAAAAGAGGAGGAAAAAATAAACTGTGGTTAGCCCCAGCACGGTTATTTCCATGACCTCACATGTCTTTCTTTATACACCCTTAAATCACTGTTCACTGTCCTTTTGGCACATTTTCCATTCAGCTAGATGCACACATTGTACTATTCACACAACTGCTATTGCTTGGGTGCAGTCAATCAAATGTCCATGCACATAGAGTTGTGTCATGACTTACCAGCAAACCTGCAGTCATGCTGAAAACCCCAGATGTGGCCTGCATGCCTGCCGTCATGCTACTTTGACTTTTACGTTTCACTGCACCAGTAATGAAATTCAGACATTTATCACACACACATATTTCAAATCATACCTGAAGCACATTAACATGCCTGTAGGCTTGATACACCTACAATAACCACACATTATTTCATACATGCACACTGACAGATAAGTCTGCCGCCACTTGAAATATGTTCTGAAGGAGAAACAACATTAGACCTTGTACTTGAAAAAGACAATGTCGATAATGGCAGCCAGAGTTACAGCACTAAAACGGGCCAACAGGACGGTACATACCGCCACAGCTGTGATATCACCTGGTACCTGATTGAGCAGCGTTTGACACATTGTTGCCACGGCAAGTTTGGATTAGAAGGTTGACTGCTCACAAGATGACCCTTTAAATTCCACTGTAATTTTCCATGCTGTTCCTCATCTTTACCAATCTAGTCCGAGCAGCGAACAAACCGCACAGTTCAATGTTACCTTCATGAGCTCATGTGACTGACTAAAACATTGGTAACTGCAGTAGAAGAGATTTTATTTCAGTGGAACCGGTGCTTAAGAATGGACAAATCTTTTAAGAGGTACAACAACATTGTTTCTGGAGAAACACAAACTGAGAGGGGAAAGACGGTATTTTAAAATCTTTATCGGAGTATAGCGGGGCTATTTTTTTGTTTGTCTGTCTTTGTTTGTTAATCCATCAGGGACCTGTTTATTTCCTCAACTTGTCTGACAATGTACTATATTTGATCAATAAAGGGATGGGGTAAACAGCACAGTAATGCAGCCACAAAAGAACGTTGTGGAGATGACGGAAAAAGGAAAACTCTCCATGGCTGGAAATAAGCCAATTACATGTCATCGCCAGACAGACACAAGCAACGAAAAAGGAAAAGAACACCTATAGGAGGGTTTTTTTTACCACTCTGTGTTAATACTGTTGTATGTAATAAAAAGAGAAAACTAAGAAAGTCACTATCTGCCCTTACTCTTAGGTATAAGATAGCTAAAGCAAGGGTCAGCTACATTATTACCCTGTAACAAGTAAAAAAAAAGGGACATTTTCTGTCTTGGTGTTTGACATTGTAAGTTATCACTAAATCTACTGTTGGCTAGCTTGCTGTACTCATACAGTACTGCCAGATGCCACATTAAATTATGATGGAGAGTGCTAGCATCTGTCGTCAAATGACTTTGAAGCCTAATTTAGGTCGGGGCTGATAATTTATTAGCACTTAACACTCTGGCACAGCCAAATTGCGTTGGTGTTATTCTCACTATAAGCAACAATTCGTGCAATTTTCTCCATCACACTCCAACTTTCATTTACAGTGAGATAACACCTGAGTGTTTTATGGGGGTTATTTTGCATTTAACTAACAAAGAAGCATTCTGTAAAGAATATCACTTGGGGCTGACAGTGACATCAACACCAGGGGGAAAGAAGCTATAAACATAAACACGGTAGCAATATTTAATTTGAAGGATTCTTCATCGCTTTTGATTGTTTATTTATTACATTCAAGAGATTAGAGGGATATTCTAGTGATTTTGTACTTCTAATGTTCTGGGATTAAAGTGATTAATAAGAGGAGGTGTAAAAAAAATCACCATCAAATATGTTCAATTTTAGTTTTGAGTAAGGGTCACAAATGTCAGCTACATCACCAATAACGCAACTCTAGCCTGCTTCATAAAACACTTCTTATATTCCTTCTTCCTAAATGCTTATTTCCTGCCAAACATTTTTGTTTAAGATTACCTTGGCATCAGTGATGAGATCACCAGAGATATTTTTCTCAGCTTTTTTTTTCTCAGATGCAGAGTGGTAAGCAGTAAGTAGCTTGAGCGTCATAAATAAAACTGGTGACCTAGCCTTTAAACTCAGAAAGATATGATTAGCTTGACTTAATTTCAATAACATTCACAATATCACAGCATATATATGTGTGGTATTATAGAGGGCCGAAGCTGCCTAACCCCTGTGCATGTATCAGTGCTGAAAGAATACACAAGCACAGTTACACAACGTTGTGCCTCAATATTACAGATTCAGATGAGCGGTGCTGATGATTTTCTGTTCAAAACGCAGATGTTGCCCTGGCACAACATTTCTCCACCTCTCAGGTTTTATGGAAATAATAATCATCCAGTTGAGTTCCAGCTGAGGCACACATTTTTAAATCAAAAAGGGACATCAGGCCTATTGAAATGTAATCATAATGGAAGACAGATTAGTCCCACAATACCACAATAAGAGCACTCATAATAAATGCATCTCAACAGAAATGGGAATTGTATAGTGAATTTTATCATGTTAAGTATCACTTTGGTCTTTGTTCTGTTAGAAATCTGATCTACTGTCTTACACTTCTGAAATCACAAGTATTCTGATTTACTATCATTTGAATATACTCTTATGTATACATTATTTGTTCTAATTTATGGAGCAAAATTGCCCCCTCTATATTTTTTACAGATTAATGTCAGTTATGTAAGTCAATTTTTACCATTACCTGTAAAAAAGCAGTAGTGCTTGTGGACTACTATATGGCTGTGTGTCTAAGTGCAGCGGCAGCAGTTGAGAGTCACTGTAAGGCTTTGAAATGGCTCTCTGTGGGAAAATACAGCCAATCTTGTGGACGAGAAAACCTACTGGTGCTCTCAGCCAGCAACCATCACAAGGGGCTTTTAGCTTTTTGAATGCTAATTCATCCACTTTCCCTTGTTGTTCTGTGGGGAAATCATGTTACCCAACATCTCACCCAGTGCACCAGCTGAGAAACCCTGAACGACAGGCAATAGGTTGTAATCCTGCAGCGAGGTTAAAACGTAGGTATTAGCATTCAAGAAATGTTACCCAGTCAATGCATCAATGTTATAAAAGCTACGAGGGTGGAAGATGCAAGAGCACTGAAACTGGCAGAGAGGACCAGAGTTAATTGCCATTCTTTTTTTCTTTTTTTCCTCCTCTGTGGTAACTATAGAATTCTTTGTAGCAAACACTGTCGTGCGGCTCAAGCAGTGAAAAATGAAAAGCAGTCATTATTGAGTGAACATAACCAGAGGAGTCCGGAGAGGAAAAAGTGATCATGAAAGAGGTTAACATGAATCACAGCACAATGTGAACGATACAGCAGTCTGTAATGTTCTGTGTGAAAGCTTCATAAGCGTAAAGTAGTAAAGGAGCACAATGACTCCCTCTCAGTGCTGACTGCTAATACAGTAAATGAGCCTTTTTGGTAAAATTTGTATTTATATTTCATATTTTTGTTGAGTATTAAAAATGTAATTATGTTTTAAGTTGAGTATAAATTATGTTTTACTATAGCTTTTGGTGTTCAGGGTCTCATTGTGATTTTTTTTTTTCTTTTTAATAAGTAGCTTCATCGTCTTATGCCTGTCATGTTGTCTAATACAGTCACAGTAGGGAAAACAGTGGTTGCAGACTAGTGGTGCAACGGATCAAAAGTCTCACGGTTCGGATCGGATCACGTTTTTTCGTCACGGATCGGATCAATTTTCGGATCAGCAGGAAAAAAAAAAGAAGACAAAAATTGAACTCGCCATTTACTTATTTAAGTATTTTTTGCCTATTAAAAAACATTCAACTCAAGACTCATTCCACGCAATTATATAAAAACAAATTAAGGTGCAATATAGGGCAGTACGTGTTGGCAGTACAGGGCTTTCTATCTACCACTCCGCTGTGATTTAATGAGAGGTCACGGTCACGTAGCTTTCCGTTGCCTTGGAGGTCCACCCATTTGTAGTTAGGGCAACAGAAGATGCCTGGGACAGCTCAGCCATAACTTTAAACTTTTCCTGCTCATACATGCTTGGAGCGATCTTGTCACTGAAGTGAACGCGCGACAGGATATCATAGCGTGGCTCAAGCACATTCATCATAGTTTAAACTAGTGCTGTCAGCGTAAATCTCGTTAAAATGACGTTAATGCCATAACTGCATTAACGCGACAAATCTCCGTTAACTAGTTACCGCGGATCGCCCCGTGCGTGGGGCTGCAATGCGTCAACTAACGCATTAACTAGTTTAAACCCCTTGTTTTGCATAACAGAATGCGGCCTCCTGTCTGCAGCTTAACACCCCAATAGCTTTTGTAATAGCTTTAGCCCGGTCGCTTTGGGCAGCAAAGGGCTGCTTAAATACCGCAAACTCCTCTGCTCCTCCACTTGGACCGCTAGCGCTGACCATAGCTATCGCTTGACAGACTGACCACGCGCACCATACACATACTTTTTTCTTCTTTTTCGAATCTTCGGATCATGTGCATGCCGAACCGTGGACTGGGATCGGTTCTGATTACGGATCAACCGTGAGCCATTGCACCACTATTACAGACTGCAGTTTATTGCAGTCCTGTGTAATGAATTTGTAGATGCGTGGCTGCTTCAAAGACAGGGACCAGGTCTGAGACCACTTGAGTCTTCAAAGCATCTCTGGTGCATCAAGAAAGAGATAAAACAGCAATAAGACAGAGAGAGTTTGGGAGTAAACGGGGTAACCTGGCAACTACATACAATCTGTTATAATATGGTAACTGTGAAAATCACAAATCTGTTTGCATATACAACAGAAATTCATTTGAAGTACTTACTTTCAGAGTTCAACCAAAGCCTTACTGATCTGAAATGGAAATTCAGAAATTCCTCTACAATTTTTTTTTAGGAATATAACCAGATACAACCAGTTGTTTTGAGTCCCCTATAACAATGAGACCTAATTAAGATGATATGCGCCCATCGATGCAGACTGACTCAGATTGATTGCAATATGGTAACAATCTTTCTGCATTTTTAAATTACCAGTTATTTTCAAACCTTCACCAATAGAGGTGATTATGGTCAGTCTAAGGGGCAATGTCACTGTTTGGACACGCATCATCTCCCACCAGGTGACATTGCAATTCTGTCACAGTTGAGAGTGGTCACCGCAACAATTTGCAGTCAGTTGCCGACTACAAAAAAAATTCATGCAACTTACCAAGGAGTTGTTTTCAGACAACCTACTACTGAACTACAATTGGCTGTCTGACACCGTTTTCACAGTATCTGACTTGTTAAGATTATTTTGTTTCATCTCAGCCCATGACCAACAGCTGGCAGGTTTGACCAGGTTTAACCAGCCAAGGCTATATATCCAAAAAAGGCTTTGCTACTAACCCCATGTGATTAAAATGTGTGTATTGTCAATATGAAAAAAAGATAAAGTTTACCATCTACCTTAGATTATTTACACATCGTTATAGTTTTTTTGCTGATGTTAATATTTAGGGTAACATTATGTAATTAATGTCAAAACATAATGCGTTAGAAACTGAGTGGTGCACATGTAACTGAGAGTGGGTTATTGAAGGCCCCAAATAATAGACCAGCTAGTTATATTAAGATCCATCAAGCCTAGTAATGGGGACTATGGAAGGACAGCATATCTCTAGTATTTGCTTTATTTCTTTTTCATATCATTAGGATATTTTTTACAGTATAAGGAAATTCAGTACACCAATGGTCTGAGTGGTCTGGTTGCATTACATTTTAGATATCAGTTTTTGTTCAGTACATAACAAAAAAATACATTTTTTTAAGGCAAACACAATGATAATCTATCATTATAACAGATGTTGCTATTTTACACTGATTCATATTTGTAAATTCTACAATGCCATGACAAATTTGGGTAGGTGGTTAAGTAAGCACAGTTTACAATGTACTGAACTGATGGTAAAACTGCACAAGGGAACTAATAATTTTTTTTTGAAAATACATTCAGAGATTAGATTGCTCAACAGTTTTACCACGGGAAAAAGTAATAAAAAAATGTATAATATTTTTATAGGAATAAAAAAGGAATAGGGTGGCCAGGTGCAGCTGTAAATAGAACAATGATGCTTTCTTTATGATATTTGTTTTTTATTTCTCCTTGCATCATTGCATTAGTAGTGATCTACTGTATTTTATCATTTCTTTGGGGAATATCTTTTCTGTATGTATATACATATATATACAGTACATATATATATATATATATATATATATATTCTGTAAATGTAATTTGAGCGTGAACTCTGACTTTAAAAAACGCTTGCAGGGTCTTCTTGTTACCCCCTCCCCCAAGCCATCATTCTCCTGTAATGTGTGACTGTGTTTTCCACACAACTTTTGTGGATTTTGTGTTTCAACCTTGGCTCTTGCTCACTTTGTAGGAGTGATTTTTTTTCTCCTTTTTTAAAATAATGGGTGTATTATTACCAACACTACATTTACACACATCTCTCAGTATTATTCACCTCTTGAGTCTTATTTTTTTCAAGTTTTTGTACACTTTTAAAATGCTGTTGCAATACTAATGAATATTCAGTATCACATCACCCTTTTTCAACCTTTTCCTAACTAATGCTATTAATCCACCAGTGTCTCTTTAGGAATTTTGAGAACCTATACAATATTTTAATTTCCATTTGCAGTAAGCTCAGTGATTATTTTACATCCATTTATTTGGGAAAATAGTGGTTGAATGGTGTAGCAAAATCATGTGTACCCCCAAGAGTGTACTCACAGTTTGGATGCTGAGATGCTGGCATTGCACTGCTTGTGCCGGTTAAGTAGATACCTTCTGTTTTTAAATGAAGCTAATATTTTAAATTCACTGGATTTTGCACAAAGTGACCATTGGCATTGGAGCCTTGATGCACTGGCCATGACAGTACTGAAACAAGCCTCATTCCCAACTTATATGTGAAAGCTCCTTCTAAATTTTCCATAGGTAACTTTAAAGAATCATTTTGAAATGTTGAGGATTCGTGTTGTAAAGGGGCTTGTCAAAATCTGAACATTTTGTGAATTTAACAAATTATCTTTGGTGTTAAAACCTAATCAAACAGTAAAAGAAAAACAAAAAAAGTGTTGAGTATGAAGCGTAACTGGCAAAGCTTCCAAAGATTCACTGCATCACCATCTTTCCTGCCGCTTTTTTTCCCCCCAAACTGGACTGTTAACTCCATTTCCAGTATTGACATGATCAGTACATTGAGGCACAAATACCAAAGATTAAGTCGTGCATATTTCTGTAATGTCAGGGGTTTCTGACAAAGCAGCAGCATTTGAGATTCAGTGGGGTGTATTTAATTGTTACGATTACGTTTGCCTACAAATAACGTCTTACAAGACATGAAAAATAAATATTTACTACAGGTATTTTTGTATTATTTTTACCATGGTGGATTGGTCATGACACCTAATATCTAATGTGAATAATGCCACCAAAATCATCATTGTGGCATTGTAGCAAATGTGTCAGTAGCAATCAAGCAGTGCAGTTCGTTCTGACATAATGTTTATGAACTGAAGCTCAATGGTCCACATTAAACTTAGGATCTAAATGTTGATCCAAAATCTTGATACCTATGGAAACTGAATGGATGCACAATTTTAAAATTAGATGTATAACTGTCTGTTGCATTATTTTACCTATTGAAAAAACATAACTTGCATTATTTATGCAGGAAATGAACCAGACAGCTCTTTTTGTTTTGTGCTGTTTTCTGATGACACTGTATAGTTTACTAATGATAACTACTGAGAGTTTGTTCCTAAATTACTTAAATGTTTGCCATAGTTTTTGTATATTTACACTACATTTACAGACAAATATGGACCAATGACACACTTATGTTGAGATAGCAAATTGGCATTTGCATTTGATGATTTTGGTGGCAATCCTACCATTTTGCAATGTTCAGCACTTACATGTATATCTGGGAATGTGGTCAGTTTGGAAAGTTCCTCAAATGCCCTTGAATCTGTTCATTAAATTACACTGAAGTTAGGAAGAAAGTAGGTTTCATCATTAAATGAGCATAAATTATAATTTGTTTGTATCGATTCACTAGAATGATTGAGAACTTAGTTTTATAGGCCTGCTTTGTCACATTTTACCAGTTTTAAATATTTCTTTTTACTGGTTAATTGACACCCTTCCCAAGCTAATACATTTAAATACATAGTCCCTCTGTTTTGTTACATGGATCTGTCAAAAATATATTTTTAATTCAATATGAATAAAGATCAGTCAATATTTAAAGATGAATTGTGGTCATTTTCTAGACTTTAACAGTGCTTTCCATAAAGTCCCAGCTGGCACACACTGGAAAAACTGAAATGGAAATTAAATCCATCAAAATCTTTGGCTTATATTTAACAAAACACTGTTAAATATAAGCCAAGTGGTTTAAATATAATGTTTCGAAGACATCTCCAAATCAGTTCAAATTCAGTGGTTTTCTTTTCACTTGAGATCTTTATGTCACTGATAGCTCTTATTAAGTGTTATTATGTTTTGTTTTGTTTTTTTGGGGGGGGGTTAGAAGAAAATAATGATTCAGTGTGTTAATTATCCAGAGCTTCTATTGGTTTTCTGTGGTTACCTATTTTTATCTCATTGTAGCAGGGATTGAGTGATTCTTCAAATTCAACCCTAATAGTTTTGAGTGCCCTTGCACGTCCTTATTTCAAATGTTAGACCATTCTCAAGTAGTTCAGCCAGACACATGGGAGTGTTGTGTAGCCTCTAGACACAGCACGACATCTTCATTTTGTCCAGATGAGGCTGCAGACATCTCTCACCATTCAGCATATTATGCCTTTAAGCTAGAAAGACCAGACAGAGCACCGCTACCATCACCGCAACCTCTATTTTTCAGACGGTTTTTTTTTCACATTAAAAGCCACTCGTACACACACACAAACTTGTACTCTTACCAGAAAATTACACAGGAGCGCCAATAGTAAAGTGTTATTACTTTTGACACTTGCTCATGCATGATAGATGCATCTCTTTCCCAGCTGATGACATTTTATGACATTATCATAGGAAATCCAATAACAAGATCAGCATCTCAGAGCCCTTGTCGCATGCAAAGTCAAATCACTTGCATTAAGACGGTAATAGAGTGTGATCGAAACAATCTGTCACTGCCTATCCACTCACTCTCACACACCAGCTGCCCTGACAAACTATATAGATTTTTACGTGACGCGAGCGATGATCGGCACAGCTGAATGTAAACGATCTTAAGGTAAATCGATTGACTGGCACTTCTCAACAAATAAAAGTGAAGGCTCTATTTGATGATGCATCATTCTTTACCACCGTGTTTTATTGTCTGCACGTTTGCTTGTGCAGCTGTTTTAATTGCTTGTGCTGCTGTCTTCGACATGTGAATTTTCAAAGAAGTGGTTGCGTACCACAGCTGCAGTTTTCCACAGCACGCCACGGGGTGTAGCATACACAGGTCTATACTGCTAACATTTTGGCTGGCTTTATGAAGGAACCAGTTGTCACAGCAAATTACATAGAATTCAACACAGGTGAAACATACAGATGTTTCACTGGAGTAAATAATCATTTTTGTTGTGGGATATATATTTATTTATTTTAACTAATGCAACTGGGCAATCAGTTTTCATATTAGAATGACAGCAGCAAAGCTCAAAAACTTGTTCTGTGTTGTTTCCACTGTTTCGGCATTGTTATCTCTTTTTCTCAGAGAGCCACTGGTGAGGGCTACTGCCTCTAAATCCCAGCATGTTGGCAGCCTCTGATTGAATGGACTGTATCAAGCCCACTAAGTAGTGTTGCGATCCCCTTTTCATTATGGAACAGCATATTGGATTTTCTTCACAGGGCGTCTGTCTCTGCAGGCTTTGGTGTCTCCAAGAATTCATACACACACACACACAAATATATTTTTTAAAAAGGCAGCATGTAGGACCACCCAGTAGTAAATTCTAAGAAATCTTATTGAATCAGGTATTAAACACTTCACGTGACCTCTAAAGTAACTAGTACGCCCACAGACCAGACAAGAAACATGGGTTCATATTCATATCACATCTGTACCTCACCTCAGAAAACATGATTTTTAGCTACATGGGTGGCCTGCAACTGCTTTTGAATTTTATGAATTTCTACAATAGCAGAACTGTAATACTTTCTGTACTTTTAAAAACTGCAAATGTTATATTACCATAACATTGATAAAGGGTATAAAACTATTGTGCTGTCACACTTTGGAGAAAGATAGCTGACAAATTTTAATAGAGCCCACTGTTTATCTCCTAGCCGCTGTTTTTGCATTAGAACATTTTGTATTTTCAATCAGTGAATACAGGTAAAACACCAGCGAATAGTTGTTACATTTGTCACATTGGATTTTTTTCCCATGACTTCCTAAGAATTTGAACAAATTTTGAATGAACATCATGAGTTCTAATTGGACTTGTGTCTTTAAGTATGTCCCCAATGAAATGGCAACAGCAGTGCTACATAAAGTGGCAAAAATATACAACTTGCAAATTGTTGCATTATGTCAGGACAATGAGGGGTTAAATAGTTTCACAACTCTGAGCACCCAAAATCATTTTAATGATTTATTGACAATATTCAAATTTGACCAGTAGATATGCAAGGTTTGCATAAGCGACTCCCGTTTTGTTCCATTCAAATAATGCCACTTCAAGCTTGGGAGAACTTAAAACAGCGCAACAGTTCAGCAAGTAGTGGTTAGAAAATGAAAACATTAAGATTAATAAGACAATCTCTCTGGTCATTTGCATACTGCTTGTGAAATACAGCTCATCTGATTAGTGTTGTATATTAGCTGCTTACCATTTAGTGTTTATCACTTGCTTTGTTAGACAAAGCAATATTCGCTCAAAGAGGTTCCCGTTGAAACTGCATTGGCACTTTAAATGAGAAAGTGGTCATTACAGCTCATTTATTTTCTGTCACTTCCAATAATGGCAGATACATTGTGAGAACTGAATACAACTTCGGAGGAAAGGGTGTGCATCTGTGTGGGGTGGCATTGCCAGTTTTTGACTTATATCCAGGGCAGTTTCAAAGGCTACCTTTATGTCAGTGTTTTAGAAATAACATATATATTTAGAACTTAAATGTTAGTTGC